AGAGACAACATCGGCAGCAGCAGAGACAACATCGGCGGCAGCAGGGACAACATCGGTAGCAGGAGAGACAATATCGGCAACAGCAGAGACAACATCGCCAGCAGTAGAGACAATATTGGCAGCAGCAGAGACAACATGGCAGCAGCAGAGAAAACATCGGCAATAGCAGGGACAACACTGGCACCGATCGTTGGCCCGTCAATAACACCGGTCTTCATCGACGACATCGGCAACAGCAGAGACAACACCGCCACCAACTCCTGCGTAGCAGCTGATTCCCACTCCACGGGAAGTCCACAGAAGCGCAAACTTCACCGCGGGTTTCTACTCCAACTCCGACCTGTACAGACGTTCACCCGGACATCGTGCTAGCGAATCAACATGGCATGCAAGAATGGGACACCCAAGTAACACAACGTTAAACAACACGATTCGAGCTGGAGTGCTTGACAAAGACTCCCTACTTCTATCAGACGGCTGAGAACTTCAGCGAGTCCGCGGAACGTGCTTTACCTGCCCTGAAGCCGACTTACCGCATCAACCGTTCGTCTCTCACCACAATCCGGGCGCACCAGCATACGCACCTCTGGAGAAAGTGTACATCGATATACTATACAACCGCGAACCTGGACAAGGAGCATATAACTACGAAATCAGGTTCATCGATGCCGCCACACGATACGTCTGGCACTTCAACCTCCCGAGTCGCGACATGGCCCTTAACGCTTTCGCCGCTTGGCTTCCAGCAGCAGAACGAGAATCAGGAGTAAAGCTGAAAAGCTTCCAGTCAGACGGGGGAGGGGAATATCAGTCACTGAGGTTCAAGGACTATCTGGCAGATAGAGGCATCAAGCGGCTCATCTCCCTTCCCTGCGCTCATCAGCAACAAGGCGTGGCAGAAAGAATGAACAAAACCCTTCAGAACACCATGCGCAAGCTACTACGTGGCATGCGGCTACCCAATCACCAGTGGCCCGAGGCGATGGACCACGCTGTCATGCTGCACAACTTGCTCTCGTCATCATCGCTCCTAAACAACGCATCACTGCATCTGCTGTGGACAGGAAAATTGGGCAGCACAAAAATGTTACGAGTATTCGGTTGCATGATACAGTACCGACCCCCAGCTGCACGAGATGGCTGATTCTTCCAACGCGCAAAGTGGGGACTACACCTGGGCATCGAGAAACATTACGACGCATGGAAAATCTTTGACATCAACACAAAGGAAACAGTGGCAGCACGTGATGTGATCTTCTACGAACGACTCACCCTCCCGACGTACCTTGCCAACATAGAAGAAGGGAATCCGGACCTCTCGGACGGATTTCTTGGCGACCGAGCCTTCGCTTCGGCAGCAGACGAAGCTGACTGGGACGAGCAAAACGGGGATAGAGCCTCGGAAGAAGCCGGACCTCTTCCCTATTGTTCGATCAACGTACCAATGGAGGACAAAAACCCTCGCAAAAGCATCAACGCCGAAGTCTACTACCACTTCGCCGACAATGGTTACGTTACACATGCAAGAGTCAACACCGACAAAGCAGAACGTGTAGGATCCAATTTCACACCTGATCTAGAGGCGGGAGACAAAGCAGTCTATCCCGAGGACACAACTCTCCCTCGCTACATACAGAGCGGACTGCAGATACCTGGACTCGCCACCGCCCTTCACGGAGCAGCACCACCTAAGGAGCCTGCTAAAGTTCAGCAGGCTCTGGGGGGGGAGCATAGGGAGAAATGGCGTGAAGGCATGGACAAGGAATTAAAAGCGCTCGAAGAACGCAACACTTGGAAGGTCGTACCCATCGGAGTGGCACGCAACAAGACAATACTCGTCGGGAAGTGGGTTTTCCGCGTGAAAACAAAGGTAGATGGAACCATGGACAAATTTAAAGCGCACTGGGTCGTACGCGGCTTTCATCAAGAGCACGGACGAGAATTCACTGAAACATTTGCTTCGGTTTGCCGACACACCTCACTACGGATTCTATGAGAAGAAACGAGAATGGATGAACTATGAAAGAGTTGGGTACAAGTACTAACCCTAATTGGGTTGTACCCCTTATGGGCTACCCCACTACAGCCTACACAAATGTATAAGCTATAATGTTCCGACACACCCCCATAGGCAAAGTGGGGGAGAACAAGGGGTCACAAGACCAGTCAAGCAAAGCAAAGCAAAGCAAGCTCAGGGTGGATCACAAAGTCACCACACATTCCGAGCACAAGTTCAAGGCCACAAGGCTAGTTCACATGCAGGAGTACATATATATAAAAGGCTAGACAAGCAAGAGCAGGTGCATATATATATGTAACAGTACAAGCAAGGTCAAGAGGTGAGCAAGTGAGGCAAGGCAGGCACAAGACCCAGCTGAGTACAGAAGCGCTGATGATCACAAGGCGCAAGTGCCTTGGTGAAGATATCAGCAGTGTTGGCCTCAAAGGCCAAGTACGCAAGTCGCAGCTGACCACGCTGCTGTAGCTCACGAGCAAGGAAGTAGCGGAGAGCAATGTGCTTTGTTCTGTGCTCCAGTCTCTGCTCTCGACACAAGGCCAGCATGGCCTTGTTGTCTACGTACAGAACTGGAGGAGAACGAGGCGGCTCTCCGAGGTCGGTCAGCAGGTAGGTGAGCCAGCGAAGCTCCTGTGCAGCCATGGCTCCTGCGTAGATCTCAGCCTCACAACTAGAGCCGAGAACATAAGACGAGCGAGTAGCCCGCCACGAAACAGAGCTGGAACCAAGGCTGGCGGTGTAACCCTGTGACGACCGCTGCGTAGCCTGGTCGTCAGCCCAAGAAGCGTCTGCGTGCCCCGTGAGGATCACTGGACTCCGCCCTCCAAGCACAAGCCCCATGCCCGACGTACTACACAAGTAGCGCAACACCCTCTTCGCTGCAGCCATGTGCTCCGGTCTGTGTCTCCCAGGAGCAACATAGCGTGCGAGAATGCTAAGAGGGTATGCAAGGTCAGGTCGTGTGCAGGTCATCAGGTACATGAGGCCAACAAGCTCTGGGTACGGGCCACTCGACTCTACGGACTCATTCGAAGGCAGAGATGAGAGCGAGTGGCGAGTAGGCAGAGGAGTGGCCTGAGGCGAGGAGTACGTGAAGCCGAAGCGCTGAAGGACCTGCTGCACCATGTGTGACTGAGTCAGGGTAATGGTGCGGCGTGCTCTGTCCCGGGTGATCTGCAAGCCAAGGTAGCTGTGCAGTTCACCCAGGTCGGTGCACGTGTGTCTCTTCTGCAGCTCGGACTTCACGTGGGCGAGTCCAGTCGTGTCAGCTGTGGCAAAGACCAAGTCGTCGACGTACACGAGGATGTAGAACGGCAGCAAAGAAGTGTCGGTGCGCAGAAACAGCGACGGGTCGGCAGTAGAGGGAGCAAACCCAAGAGCCGCAAGCGTAGTCCTCAGTGTGTCGTGCCACTCGCGCGGTGCCTGGCGGAGACCGTAGACTGGCCGCCGGAGGCTCCACTGGGTGCCAGGAGGAAAAGACCCAGTGAAGCCAGGTGGGCGGCGCAGCCAGATCTCCTCGTACAGGCTGCCCTGCAAGAAAGCAGTGCTGAAGTCAAGAGAGTGCAGCTCGTAGTCACGGTGAGCAGCTACGTGCAGCAGTACCCGAAGAGTGGTCATCTTTGGGGTGGGAGAGAAGGTCTGAAAGTAGTCAACTCCCTGCCGCTGACTGAAGCCACGAGCCATGTAACGCGCCTTGGAGACAGGCGGAGAACCCGACGGCTGCTTCACCCTGAAAATCCACATGCCACTGACGATGTTCGCCCCAGGCGGGGGAACCTCGTAAACGTAGGTGCATGTGGACTTCCAGGAAGCCATCTCTGTGTCCATAGCTGCCTGCCACTGAGAGGAGTAGGGACCCTCTATCGCCTCCGCGTAAGAGCGCGGAGTCGGGATGTCAAGTGCATCTGGGTCTCCCTCAGGGGTAAGCAGTACGGACACGAGATGAGGTGGAGCAGCAGCCAGACACTGGAACTCCTCCTGCCTGTCCTCAAGGACGTCCGTGCCAAGGGCACACTCACCCCCGACGGATGGAGGTCAGACAAACTCAGACTCAGCGACAAGACTAGCAGCATAGTCTAGGCGACAGCGAGCAGCAAAGTCGACCAGCTCAGCAACTAGGGCAGATGCAGCAGTGGACTCAAAGGAAGGGTCAGTGACGGCAGTAGCAAGGAGACGCGTGACAGAGGGACTGGCAGCACGAAGAGAGTCCGACTCCGGGTCGGCAAGAGCAGAAACAGAGGACTCAGGAGGAGAAGGCAAAGGGGTACGCAGAGGAGCAGTGGACGGACGCAGAGACATCCGGTGCGTGCCAGGGACAGGAGGAGGACACTGACGCGAACCACGACCAATAGTGCGAGCAGAACTGACAGGCGACGCAGGGCGAGACGCATGCTCACGACGCTCAGCAAGACCTCCAGTAGGACCAGTGTAAGGAGAAGGAGAAGGCAGAGGGGAGGCCGGCTGTAACTGTAACTGTGATGGGACAGGCTGTGGACACTCTAAGGGAGGAGGAGGACTAGTAGAGGGCGGAAGACCAAGAACCTGCTAAAGGAGCGGAACGAAGTACAGTCGAGGCCGCGCGGCGACTCCAGACACGGCAGGGACAACACCAGTACCCCCAGGGGTAGCACCAGCGCCAGCAGCACCTCCAGCTCCAGGACCCCCAGCAGCTCCAGTAGCTCCAGGACCTCCAGCCGCACCAGTAGCACCCCCAGCAGGACCGCCAGCAGTAGCCTCAGCGCCAACACCCTCAGTAGCTCCAGCTCCAGTCGTACCCGCAGGCCCAGCAGCTCCAGTACTCCCAGTACGAGCACCTCCGGGACCCGCGACACCAGCACCCTCAGTAGCCGAAGAACCTCCAGCTCCAGCAGCACGCCTCCAGCGCTGGGCAAACCACTCGCGCAGCTCCTGTGGAGAGAGTGGCTCCCGCCGATACGAAGCACCCGAAGAACCGCCAGACGCGACACGAGCAGGCCCAGCTCCCTCAGGCTCCGCACCCCCAGGCATAGCACCCCCAGGCTCAGCACTCCCAGTCGTAGCACCCCCATGCTCAGCACCCCCAGGCGTAGCACCCCCAGGCTCAGCACCCCCAGGCGTAGCACCCCCAGGCTCAGCACCCCCAGTCGCAGCACCCCCAGGCTCAGCACCCCCAGGCTCAGCACCCTCATCATCAGCACCCTCAGGCTCAGCACCCCAAGGCGCAGTACCCACATGCTCAGCACCCCCAGAGTCAGCACCCCCAGGCTCAGCACCCTGAGCAGCACCTGAGTCACCAGCAACCTCGACAGGGTCGACTGCGTCTACCTGGGACACACCTGAAGGGGCAGGACCCTGAGGGGGGAGGGGGTCTACCGGGGGGGGACCTGACACAAGGAAGAGCGGTGGCGGGGGAAGGGACGGAGTGCGGTAGGGGAAGAGGCGGTAGTAGGGGACCGACTCGTCAAACGTGACGTCCTGGGAGGACAGAACACGGCGAGAGGTGGGGTGGTAGAACTGCCACCCCGGCGCGTCAGGGGGGAAACCCAGGAAGACGCAAGGAGCAGCACGAGGGGACAGCTTGTCCGCAGACAAGTCGCGGAAAAACGCCCGAGATCCCTAGACATGGAACGCAGACGCATCGCCAACCTTCCCCGTCCACACCAAGGCTGGGGAGGTCTCCGGCATGGAGACCCTGGGCTGAAGGTTGATCTGATGCGCCGCGTACCGAACCGCAAACGGCCACAGAAATTGGGGGGGCAGCCGCATGCATCATGGACGTACGAGCGACGTCCATGACCATGCCAATGCGGCGCTCATCAATCCCATTTTGCTATGGAGAGTCCGGAAGCGTGAAGGTTTGGCGGATGCCTCGTGCACGACAGTAGGCTCGCAGAAGGCCAGAGGAGAACTCTCCGCCTCTGTCAGAGTGCAGACGCAGAACAGGAAAGTCCGAGCCGAAGCTCTGCTTGAGCTGGAGACGAGGTGCGCGGATCCAGTCGATCAACACCTCAGTGACATCACCCTTGCTGCGCAAGGGGAAGACTGTGGTGTAACGCGAGTAGTCGTCAACCATCAGTAGGAAGTAGCGCTCGTGACCCTGTCCACGGACACGGGCTGGGCCCCACTGTCAAACATTATATATGTTGTGTTAGTTTAGGCTACAGTGGGTTAGCCTATAGGGGGTACACAATTCTAGGGTTAGGTACTTGTACTCATTTCACTGCTAGTTCATTCATTCCTGTCTCGTACTTCTGACATGGTTTCAGAGCAGGTCCTTCGCTAGGACCGAATTTTTTTTTTGAAGGGCCCACCACTACCTACCTAACTACCTGCGCCTAGAGCGCCTCGTTCTTAAGGCCCCCTGAGGCCCTCGCGCGTCGCCCCTTAAGGCCCCTCACGGCCCCGTGCGTCGCCCCTTAGCGGCCTCGCGCTCACCTCCCTAGAGGCCCCGTTGGCCCCACGCTAGCCTCTCACGGCCCCCCTTCAGGCCCCGCGCTAGCCCCTTAAGGCCCCGCGCGGCCCCGCGCTAGCCTCTCACGGCCCCTTAAGGCCCTGCGCTAGCCCCTTAAGGCCCCCCGTCGGCCCCGCGCTAGCCTCTCACGGCCCCCGAACGGCCCCGCGCTAGCCCCGAACGGCCCCGTGCGGCCCCGCGCTAGCCTCTCACGGCCCCTTCAGGCCCCGCGCTAGCCCCTTAAGGCCCCCCGTCGGCCCCGCGCTAGCCTCTCACGGCCCCCGAACGGCCCCGCGCTAGCCCCGAACGGCCCCGTGCGGCCCCGCGCTAGCCTCTCATGGCCCCTTCAGGCCCCGCGTTAGCCCCTTAAGGCCCCCGTCGGCCCCGCGCTAGCCTCTCACAGCGCGACCCTGGCGAACCGCGCGACCCGAGCCGATCCGCGCGACCCTCACCGAGCCGCGCCGCCCTCACCGAGCCGCGCCACCCAGCCGAGCCGCGCCATCTAGTCGAGCCGCGACCCGAGCTGCACCGAGCCGCGCCGCCCTGCCCTATCTGGTTCGTCCTACCTACTTCTGCTCCTGCTACTGCTACTGCTACTGCTACTGCTACTGCTACTGCTGTTAGTCTACTGTTCCTATGGCTAGCCCACAGGTTCTCGTGTTCGATGCTGAGGGCCGCCCTGTGAAGTTTGACACCTGGCTCGATGACCTGCACCTCTACCTACAGCTCACAACCAAGGATGACATCTCACTGTACGATCACGCCCTAGGCAATGTCACTGCCCCTGCTGCTACTGCTGACAGCACTGCTCGCTCACAGTGGCAGACTCGTGATGCCCACGCTCGCTTTGCCATTCGCAACTCTCTGCCGATAGACGAACGCGAGCACTTTGGCCAGCACAAGACTGCACAGGCACTGTACACAGCTGTCGTTGCTCGCTACTCCTCACCTGCCTCTGTCGCACTAGGCCGTCTCTCCCTCCCCTACCTGTTTCCCGACCTGTCCTCCTTTCACACAGTCGCTGACCTCATCACGCACCTCCTCACTAGTGAGGCCCGCTTCCGTGCCGCCATGCCTGCTGAGTTCCTTGCCACGCACCCCCCTCCACTCTGGCTCACTCTCTACCACCTAGTCGCCCGCCTCCCTGACACACTGCGTGCTGTCAGGGACCACTTCCTAGCTCGTTGCCCCACTGAGCTCACCATTGCCCTCCTCGAGAAGGAGCTCCTTGCAGCTGAGACTAGCATAGTCGCTGTAGGTACCTCTCGTGGCGACCCCTGTACCCCGTTCTTTGAGGGGTGTTCTCCTTCCCCCCTTCTTCCCTCTGTCGCCTCTGCTGCTGCTGTCGACCTTCTCGGTGCTGAGAAGTTCGGCGCTGCGTCCGCCTCGAGCGGGCGCCGCAGCGGCAAGGGCAAGGGGGGCAAGGGTGGTAGCAGTGACGGCGGGGGAGGGGGCGGTGGGGGCGGTGGAGGAAGTGGGGGTGGTGGCTCGGCTGGAGGGGCGAGTGGTAGCGGTGGGGGTGGTGGCGGCGGCGGCGGGGGAGGTGGCAGGAGTGGAGGCAGCGGTTGGGGTGGCGGTGGACGAGGCGGTGGCAGGGGTTGGGGTGGTCGAGGAGGTGGCAGCGGTGGTGGTGGCCGTGGAGGCACTGGCGGTGGCCAGGGCCAGCAGCACACTCCCTCGCCCCAGGAGGTCCGTGAGTGGTACTCTCAGCACGGGGGTGGGGGTGGTCTTAGCTGCACGTACGTCATTCGCACTGGTGACCGCACTGGTCAGCAGTGTGGACGACCGCACGCCACACAGCGCTGCTTCTCTCGTCTCGACGACGCTTGGCGTGTTCAGTTCCCTCAAGCCACTGAGCTGCCCCGCTGGCTTGATCTCCTGAAGAAGGGGATTGATATCTATGCTCTAGACTTTGATGCTATTCTATCGGCCATGTATGTGATGTCTACTAGTGGAGAGGGTGCCGAGTACTTGTGTGTGCCGCCCGACCCGGGCATTAGGGCCAGTGCGCCTGCCGCTCCAGGTACTCGCGTGTCGGCTACCCCAGGTGCTGGTGAGGCTGCTGCTCTAGGTGCTCGTGTGTCTCCCCCACCTGGTACTGCGTCGACTGCCGCACTGCACACCTTCACACTGGACTCAGGCGCTTCTCGCTGCTTCTTTCGTGACCGCACTGCCCTTGAGCCGCTTGCTCGACCAGTTGCTGTCTCGCTTGCTGACCCCTCTGGGGGTCCGGTCATTGCGACCTCTTCCACTGTCCTTCCCTGCCCTGCGGTCCCGTCGGGCACACTGTCAGGTCTCCACCTCCCCTCGTTCTCTACGAACTTGGTGGCAGGATGTGCTCTCCAGGACGGGGGTGTTCACCAGTTTACCCCTGCCTACGAGCGCGTGACCCACTGCACGTGTGCTCGTACGGGCCGTCACTTGGCTACCTTCACTCGGCAGCCGGGGTCGGACCTGTACACACTGACTACTGCCTCCCCTCAGGTCGCTGCGTCTGCGTCTGCATTTGCGTCCGCGTCAGGTCAGCTGTCTGCCCCCTGCTCGTGTCGCTCTCTAGTGCACGAGACTGTCCTCTGGCACCACCGACTTGGCCACCCGTCTGTGCAGCGCCTTCGTGCCATGCACTCCCGGTACCTTGTCTCTGGTCTTCCCAGGGTCCTCCCTCCCCTCCCACCCTCGCCTGCTCCTCCCTGCCTTCCCTGTGTCGAGGGGCGGCAGCGCGCCGCTCCTCACTCCTCCTCGTTCCCCCCGACGACTGCTCCTTTGCAGACGCTCCACATGGACGTGTGGGGCCCAGCCCGCGTCCGTGGTCAGGGTCAGGAGAGGTACTTCTTGATAGTTGTTGACGACTACTCGCGCTACACCACGGTCTTCCCCTTGCGCACCAAGGGTGAGGTCCCTGATGTCTTGATCCCTTGGATCAGCAGAGCCCGTCTCCAGCTCAGCGAGCGTTTCCGCTCGGACTTTCCTGTCCTGCGCTTGCACTCTGACAGAGGTGGTGAGTTCTCCTCCGACCTCTTGGCAGCCTTCTGTGCTGAGCACGGCATTGAGCAGTCGTTCACGCTTCCGGCCTCTCCACAGCAGAACGGGGTTGCGGAGCGCCGCATTGGCCTGGTCATGGAGGTCGCCCGTACCTCCTTGATCCATGCGGCTGCCCCCCACTTTCTGTGGCCATTTGCAGTCCGGTACGCTGTGCACCAGCTCAACCTCTGGCCCCGTGTCTCCTTGCCGGAGACCTCGCCCACGCTGCTGTGGACGGGGGAGGTTGGCGATGCGTCGCGTTTCCGGGTCTGGGGGTCTCGAGCTTTTGTCCGCGATACGTCTACGGACAAGCTCTCCTCCCGTGCTGTTCCCTGCGTCTTCCTCGGCTTTGTCCCGGACGCGTCCGGTTGGCAGTTTTACCACGCCACCTCGCGCCGAGTCTTGCCCTCCCAGGACGTCACTTTTGACGAGTCCGTCCCCTAATACTGCCTCTTCCCCTACCGCACTGCCCCGCTCCCCCCCCCCCCGCCTCTCTTCCTCGCGCCAGGTGCTGCTGTTGAAGACCCCCTCCCCCCTCAGGGTGCCGCTCCCTCAGGTGTGTCTCAGGTAGACCCGGTTGAGCCTGTTGAGGTAGCTGTCGACTCTCGTCCTGCTAGGGGTGCTGAGCCTGGGGGTGCTGAGCCTGGGGGTGTGGAGCCTGGGGGTGTGGAGCCTGGGGGTGTGGAGCCTAGGGGTGCTGAGCCTGGGGGTGTGGAGCCTGGGGGTGTGGAGCCTGGGGGTGTGGAGCCTCGTGGTGCTAAGCCGCAGAGTCCGGAGTCTGGGGGTTCTGGGTCTGGAGGTACTGGCCCTGTGAGTCCTACTTCTGGAGGAGCCCTCTCCTCGGAGCAGCTGCGTACGTGGTACTTAGAGTACTGCAGCCTCCGGAGAGGTTCCACTCGTGCCGGACGTACTGCTGGGACTGGTACTAGTGCTTCTTCTCCCGTTAGGGAGCTCCCCTCCCGCGAGCGGATCCCTGAGTGGTACGAGCGGCGCTGCACCCTGCGGAGTGGCGTGCCTCGTGTTGCGGACCCCACTGGCGTTGGAGCTGCTGTTGGTGCTGAGGACCCGGGCGTTGGAACTGCCGCTGGTGCTGCGGACCCGGGTGTTGGAGCTACTGCTGGTGCTGACAGCCCGTGTGTTGGAGCTATTGCTGGTGCTGAGGAACCGGGCGTTGGAGCTGCCGCTGGTGCTGCGGACCCGGGCGTTGGAGCTGCTGCTGGTGCTGCAGACCCGGGCGTTGGAGCTGCTGCTGGTGCTGACAGCCCGGGTGTTGGAGCTGTTGCTGGTGCTGAGGACCCGGGCGTTGGAGCTGCCGCTGGTACTGCGGACCCGGGCGTTGGAGCTGCTGCTGGTGCTGCAGACCCGGGCGTTGGAGCTGCCGCTGGTGCTGAGGACCCGGGTGGTGGAGCTACCGCTACTGCTGCGAACGCTGGGGCGAGTGTTCCTGCTGACTCAGGTGTCGCTGCTCGGTCCCGGCCGTACTTCGTTCCGCTCCTTCAGCAGGTTCTTGGTCAGCTCCCTCCTCCTTGTCCTCCTCTCTCCTTAGCGTGTCCTCCGTCTGTCCAGCTGCAGTCGCAGCTACCGTCTGCCTCCTCTCTCCCTGGTCCTGCTCCTTACACTGGTCCGACTGGAGGTCTTACTGAGCGTCGTGAGCCTGAGTCTCGCCCTGCGTCACCTGTCCGCACTGCTCTCTCTAGCAGTCGTGTCCAGTGTCAGAGTCTTCCTGTTGTCCCAGGCACTCACCGGATGGCACTTCGTCCGTCCACTGCTCTACAGCGTGTCCCACTGCCGTCTCCTCCTACTTCTTCTCTTCCTGCTCTTGCTGACCCTGAGTCAGATTCTCTTCGTACTGCCAGTCCTACTGTCACGCGTCTCCTGGCTACTGTTGTCACTGACCCTTCCTTTGAGTGTGCTGCTGCGTCCGCCTTAGTTGCTGAGCTTGTCGACTTTGCTACTCGCTGTTGTCTAGACTACGCTACTAGCCTAGTTGCTGAGTCTGAGTCTGTCTGTCCTCCGTCCGTCGGGGGTGAGTGTGCTCTTGGCACTGACGTCTTTGACGACAGGCAGGAGGAGTTTGAGTGCTTTGCTGCCGCTTTGCCCCATCTCGTGTCCATGCTTGTTGCCCCTGAGGGAGACCCGGATGCACCAGACATCCCGACCCCACGCTCTTACGTAGAGGCGATGGCCGGTCCCTACTCCTCTCAGTGGCAGTCAGCCATGGACACAAAGATGGCCTCCTGGAAGTCCCTGGCACCTACGTCGACGAGGTTCCCCCACCTGGGGCGAACATCGTCAGTGGCATGTGGATTTTCAGGGTGAAGCGGCCGCCGGGCTCTCCGCCTGTCTTCAAGGCGCGTTACATTGCACGAGGCTTCAGTCACCGAGAGGGAGTTGACTTCTTCCAGACCTTCTCCCCGACCCTGAAGATGACCACTCTTCGGGTTATGCTGCACGTCGCCGCTCAGCGTGACTACGAGCTCCACTCGCTTAACTTCAGCACTGCTTTCCTGCAGGGCAGCCTGCACGAGGAGATCTGGCTGCGCCGTCCACCTGGCTTCATTGGGTCGTTCCCTCCTGGTACCCAGTGGAGCCTCCGACGGCCAGTCTACGGTCTCCGCCAGGCGCCTCGTGAGTGGCACGACACACTGAGGACTACGCTAGCGGCTCTTGGGTTCGCGCCTTCTACTGCTGACCCGTCGCTGTTTCTATGCACCGACACCTTACTGCCGCCGTTCTACGTCCTTGTGTACGTCGACGACTTGGTCTTTGCTACTGCTGACAGTGTGGCACTCGCCCACGTGAAGTCGGAGCTGCAGAAGAGACACACATGCACAGACCTGGGTGAACTGACAAGCTATCTTGGCTTGCGGATCACCCGGGACAGAGCACGCCGCACCATCACCTTGACTCAGTCACACATGGTGCAGCAGGTCCTTCAGCGCTTCCGCTTCACGTACTCCTCGCCTCAGCCCACTCCTCTGCCTACTGGTCACTCGCTCTCAGCTCTGCCTTCGGATGAGTCCGTAGAGCCGAGTGGCCCGTATCCAGAGCTTGTGGGTTGCCTCATGTACCTGATGACCTGCACACGACCAGACCTTGCATACCCTCTCAGCATTCTTGCACGCTATGTCGCTCCCGGCCGTCACCGAAAGGAGCACATGGATGCAGCTAAGAGGGTGTTGCGCTACTTGTGCAGTACGTCGGGCATGGGGCTAGTGCTTGGAGGGCGAGTCCCAGTTCTTCTCACTGGGCACTCAGATGCTTCTTGGGCAGATGACCAGGCTACTCAGCGGTCGTCTCAGGGTTACTCCTTCAGTCTTGGCTCTGGTTCTGTTTCTTGGCGGTCTACTCGCTCTTCCTCTGTTCTCAGCTCCAGTTGTGAGGCTGAGATCTACGCCACAGCCATGGCGGCTCAAGAGCTACGCTGGCTCACCTACTTGCTAACCGACCTTGGAGAGTAGCCTCGTTCTCCTCCAGTGCTGTACGTCGACAACAAGGCAGCCATTGCCTTGTGTGAGGAGCACAGACTGGAGCACAGAACGAAGCACATTGCTCTGCGTTACTTCCTTGCTCGAGAGCTGCAGCAGCGTGGTCAGCTTCGCCTGCGTTACGTGGCCTCTGCGGCCAACACTGCTGATGTGTTCACCAAGGCGCTTCAGCCTTGTGACCATCAGTGCTTTTGCACTCTTCTAGGCCTTGTGCCTACTGGACCTCACTTGCTTACTTCTTGAGTCTGTTTGTACTGTGATCTCTATATATATACCTGCATGTTTACTCTTTTTAGGTTGTGATCATTGTACCTTTTGCTCTATTATGAACCTGCATGTGAACTGGTCTTGTGACCACTTGCTTGTGCTCGGAATTTGTGTGGTATCCTTGAGATCCACCCTGAGCTTGTTTTGCCTTGCTTTGCCTTGACTGGTCTTGTGACCCCTAGTTCTCCCCCACTTTGCCTATGGGGGTGTGTCAAACATTATGTATGTTGTGTTAGTTTAGGCTACAGTGGGTTAGCCTATAGGGGGTACACAATTCTAGGGTTAGGTACTTGTACTCATTTCACTGCTAGTTCATTCATTCCTGTTTCGTACTTCTGACGTCCATGTGAAGCGTCTGCAGCGGGGCCTCTGTCGGAGGAAACTGGGAGGAGTGAGGGGCAGCACGCTGCCGCCCCTCGACGCAGGGGACGCAGGCAGGGGCAGGCCCCGGGGGAAGGGGAGGGAGGGACCGGGGAAGACCAGAGACAAGGACACGGGACGCCATGCCTCGGAGACGAGGCAGGGAGGGGTGACCAAGGCGGTGCTGCCAAAGGAGAGTCTCGTGAGACAAGAGACGACACGAGCAGGGGGCAGACTCAGGACCAGACCTGGACGCTGCAGCAAACACCTGACCCGACGCAGTGACTGGAGGTGACTCAGTTGTTAGGGTGTACAGGCTCGACCCCGGCCGACGTGTAAACGTGGCCAAGTGTCGGCCCGTCCGAGCCTCAGTGCAGTGTGTCACCCGCTGGCTCGCAGGAGTGAACTGGTGCACTCCCCCATCGTGTAGGTCAGCACCACTCACCAAGCTCGTAGAGAACGAGGGGAGGTAAAGACCAGACAGGGTGCCAGAGGGAGCCGCCGGACACGGGAGGACAGTGGAGAAGTGAGCAAGGACACGACCCCCAGAGGGATCTGTCAGAGAGACTGCAACTGGCCGACCAAGCGGCGTGAGTGTGGTGCGGTCTCGAAAGAAGGAGCGAGAAGCCCCCGAGTCAAGGGTGAAGGTTAGGGAGGCCGAAGCCGACGCCGTACCTGAGAGAGCAGACTCACCAGCACCTGAGGAAGCAGACGCACTAGCACATAGAGCAGTAGCCTCGCTAGCACCAAGAGCAGCAGCCTCACCAGTACCTAGAGCAGCAGTCTCAATGCCCGGGTCGGGCGGAAAACACCGGTAACAGTCACCCTCATCACTAATAGTCACAACATACATGGCAGCAAGAATAGCATCAAAGTCAAGGTCAAAGATAGCTACTCCCGCCCTATACAGCCCGCCCCATCGAGGGATCTCAGTGGCCTCAGGGAACTGGTGACGCCAAGCGTCCGTCCGGCAGCCAAAGCAGGGCTGGGTGGGGTGCGCACCCCCGCACTGCTCACCCGCGCGGTCGCCGGTGCGCAGAACATAGGTGCGCGGACCAGTACCCCCACCCCGCTGGCGTGCAGCGTACCACTCACGGAGCTGCTGAGGGGGGGGGGTGGATGTCACGAGTGCGCTGCTGCTGCTGCTGCTGCTGCTGGCGCTGACCACCACCTGAGCCGACCCTCTGCGCAGCGACACCCCGACCAGCTCCACCTCCTTTGCCTCCGCCTCCTCCTCCGCCGCCACCTCCGCCACCTCCGCTCCCACCGCCACCGCCGCCTCCGCCTTCACTGCCGCCACCGACACCTCCACCCCCGCCACTACTCCCACCACCACCCCCACCCCCTCCACCGGCTCCACCGCCACCTCCACCGCCCCCGCCAGCTCCTCCAGCGCCCTTGCCCTTGCCTGTGCGGCGCTTCCCCGAAGGGGCAGACGCAGCGCCGACCGACTCGAAACCAACGAGGTCGGCCATAGCAGCAGAAGCAACAGAGGGCAAGAGGGGTGATGGAGAACACCCCTCAAAGACAGGGGTGCGAGGGTCACCACGAGAGGCTCCTACAGCGACTATGCTCTTCTCTTCTGCTAGGAGGGCCTTCTCGAGGAGGTCAACGGTGAGAGTAGTGGGGAAAACTAAGAGGAAGTGGTCCATGACTACGCGGAGAGAGTCAGGGAGTCGGGCGACTATGTAGTAGAGGGTGATGTACATGGGGGGGGGGGGTTCTTGGCGCAGAACTCAGCAGGAAGCGCAGCGCGGTAGCGAGTGTCACTAGTGCGGAGGTGCGTAATGAGGTCACTGACTGTCGGAAAGGCAGCAAGGTCAGGGAAGAGGTACGGTAGCATGAGGCGGTTCAGTGCAGCAGTGGCAGGGGAGGAGTAGCGTGCAACTACAGCGTCGTACAAGGTCTGAGCACTCTTGTACTGACTAAAGTGCGCACGCTCAGAGGTAGGCAGGTGGCGACGCACAGCAAGACGTGCAGCAGCATCGCGTGTGGCCCACTGTGAGCGAACAGTGGCGTCAGCATCAGCAGCAGGGGCAGGAGAGGCACCAGAGGTGAGGTCAAAGAGGGAGAGACCGTCCGCCCTATCGCACTGTAGGAAAAGCTGTAGGTCATCTATCCAGACGTCAAAGTCAATAGCCCGACCCTCAGCGTCAAAAGCGAGGACACTAGGGGTAGCCATGACAGCAGTAGACTAGCAGCGCGAACAGTAGGGTAAGGGCAGTGCAATGACAGAGGCGCTGCTCTTACCGGACAGGGCGGCTCGGGCGGCTCGGGCGGCTCGGGCTGTACGGCGGCTCGATGATGCAGGCGGCTCGGCGACGCAGCGACACTGGCGGCTCGGGCGGCTCGGCGGTACGGCGGCTCGGCAGCTCGGGGACCCAGCGGCTCGGGCGGCTCAGGCGGCTCGGCAGTAGCTCGGCGGCGCTGGGGCCCGGTGGTGACGGCGGGGCCGCGTGGGGATGGCGGTGGGGCCGAGTGGAGCGGCGGCGGGGCCAGGTGGAGCGGTGGCGGGGCCAGGTGAGGCGGCGTCGGGGCCGGGAAGGGCGGCGCCCTGGCCGCAGGGGTAGGCGACGGAGCCAGCCGAGGTGGCGCCAGGGCCGGGAAGGGCGGCGCCGGGGCCGCAGGAGTAGGCGTAGGGGCCGCTAGGGCGGCGCAAGGGGCCGCAAGGGCGGCGCACGGTGCGCCGACAGGCGGCCCGAAGGGCCGCAAGGGCGGCGCGCGGAGCCGACGGGCGGCGCAAGGGGCCGCTAGGGCGGCGCACGAGGTCGACGGGCGGCGCGAGGGGCCAACGGGCGGTGCGAGGGGCCGCAAGGGCGGTGCGCGGGGCCGTAAAGGGCGGTGCGCGGGGCCGCAAGGGCGGTGCACGGGGCCGTAAGAGCGGCTCAAGGGGTCGTGAGAGGGGCCGCTAAGGGCGGCGCGATGGTAGGGAGGGCACGCGGGGCGCGCGCTACTCGGTCTAGGGTGAAGCGTGCTCCGGGCAGGGGAAAAAAAAAGTATTGTGGTGGGCCCTAGGTAGCGTTCCCACTAGGGAACCTGCTCGATACCATGAGAAGAAACGAGAATGGATGAACTATGAAAGAGTTGGGTACAAGTACTAATCCTAATTGGGTTGTACCCCTTATGGGCTACCCCACTACAGCCTACACAAATGTATAAGCTATAATGTTCTGACATTCTCCTCGCGATAGCGGCCATGAAGCAGAAGAAACTCCGTCAAATCGACGTCGCCATCTCTTTTCTCTTCGCCCCCGTCGATATTGAAATCTTCGATGAACACCCGCACGGCTCCAACGAAGACCCAAACCATGTCTGTCAGCTGCTGAAGTCCTTGTACGGCATCAAGCAAGCTCCGAGGCTGTGGCAGCAGTACCTATAGGCCCGGCTAATTCGCATCAGATTTTGTCAACTGCCGCACGATCAAGGGATGTACTGACCCGCGAAAGGCGTTGACTACATCCTGCTTATCGTCTACGTAAACGATTTGCTCTAAATCGGCTCGACCGACGGTATTACCGCATGGTTCAAAGGGGAGTTGCAGCAGGATCTCACACTCACTGTCTCCTCCACCGTGATACAGTACCGTGGGCTCAACATATAGGAAGGAGAAAACGCGATCCACCTCAGCACCGCGAAATACGCCGACACCATCGCGAAACGCTTCGGATTAACTTCGACCACAATCTCCACGCCATATCGCTACACCGACGGAAATCGCAAGGAAGGCTCCACTCCACTCAAACCCGCCGGCATACGCGACTGCCATCGAAAACTGGGATGTTTGCTCTTCGCAGCCATCACCTGCCGACCGGACCTATCGTACTCGGCGAGCCAACTCGCCACCTACCTCAAGAAACCTGAAGCAGAACACATGGCGGAGCTCGACCGCGCACTTCACTACCTCGTCAGCACCCCAACGATTGGCCTGACCTACCACAAAACTGGAACCACAACGCTTAAGCTAATCGACTACGTGGATGCTGACCACGCCGGCGACTCTAACAACAGGCGTTCGCGCACCGGCTAAATCTACCGCCTCGAACCTATCGGGCCTATCTCGTGGCAGTCGAGCAAGCAGGAACTAATTGCTCTCTCCTCAGCTGAAGCAGAATATATCGCACTCTGCTCAGCCACCAAGGAAGGACTGTTTTTTCGCGAACTACTGGAAGAAGCGAAGCTGGCCCAGTTACCCAGCTTCTCCTTGTTCTACGACAACCATTCAGCAGTTCGCATAGCGAACAAGAACGGGTTCGCGAACTGAACGAAGCATATCGCCCTACGATATTTCTTCGTGAAAGACGAGATCGAGAAGGGGAGACTTGAGCTATCCTACTGCCCCACGTCCGAGATGGCAGCCGATTATTTGACCAAGAAGCTCGGAAAACAAAAGTTTGAGTACTGCATGTTGCTGACTGGACAAGGCTACGTCACCAGTAGCGACACTCCAGAAGCGAAGGGGAGTGTTGAAAACAAGTGATTAACCTTTCTTATGTGCCGTAACATCAGACTGTAAACGAGGTGAACTACAGCGCAGCAATGGCGAGTCAATTGAGGAGGTTGACGGAAAAGTAACAGGCGGAGGTTACGCGAAGGTCAAATATCATCGACCTTTGACTCGACAAGTACAGCGCGACACCAAGGACAAACAACTGACTCGGCATTGAGCAGTTGCCCGAGTCGTCACCTTATCGAACCGCAACAGCAACAGTAAAACAGTTATTGGATCCTTTCATATTCCTTGTAATCTTATAAAGGCTTTTATTACTTCTCTATAATCAAACTATCTTGCCCTCACAAACCAGCGCAAGGTGGTTCAACAGTATATCATTAAACGCTTCCGCAGTACAACATTCCTGACAAAGTCTTAGCCTTGAAAGATCCTAAGGGCTTTTCTCAGCCCAACACTACCTATGGTTCCTAAGGCTTAGCTCGTTTATCCACACAGCCCCCCCCCTCCCCGCACTTAACTTAGGGTACATTCCTGTGGAGACACAAATGTCTCAATCGCTTTGTGACACACAAAAACAACATAAACTGTAGTGTGTCCCAATTGCGAGTCGTATTTCCACGACCATTACTGTATTTTTTATTGGTCAGCGTGAAACGCGCTGACGTCGCTGACGAATTGTAATCTGACTCGTCAATGTGAAAAATTCGCACGTTGCTCGAAATGTCAATGCACCTGGACAGCCTGCAATGCCAATTTCGTGCGGGAAAAAATCCCGCTCGTCGAAACCACACCCCAGCCAAGCGGTTGAAAAAAGGGATGTACAGTCATTTGTGTCACCCAAACAAATGCGCACAACAATACATCTCGCCTGGTCGCGTAGAGTTGCGATACATTGGTTGTTTGTGACACAACATCTGGCAAATTTACAGGCGCGACTCGGGAAATCGGGGATTGAGACACAAGTGTCCCCGCAAGTATGTACCCCTATAGGAGAATGGTGACGTGGAACTCCTCCTTACCCCCTGGCTACTCATTCTCCCCCCTATCGGTTCGGCGGTGCGAGCGAGCTTGCGATGGATGGGTCAGGATTAGCCTTGTCCTTATCGCTACCCAACCTCAAGTCAACACTCTCAAATTCCATAGTGGCCTACTAACAAATCACAAGTGAGCTTCACGTTCACTATACCCCTACACAATTAATAGTAGGGCTTGGCGCTGATCTGGTGGGTCTCCAGTTTTGGCTTGTAAAACTCTAACCTAAATCGAAATGCTAATAACACACGTTCCCAACCGTTTCCTAACCTAATGCAACCACCAACCTACCTTTCCTGGTAAAATTTGGAATTTATTGACCTATGGGAATGGCCTCGTTTAATAGGGTAGGGGGCGGAATGCCCTCCTTATACTCAAGGATTCAAACAAGCAGGTATAGGCAAATCTGAAAATGAACTGCGATTGCCCTCCGTATTCTGCCCTGATATGGCACTCAAGCTCCTGTGGCTGTAGCTCGCATGAGTGCAAAAAACTTCTCCACTGCATCAGGCAACATAAGCATTGAAAAGGCATGGAAAGAAAACGTACGACATTAAGTTGACTGCCATGTTTGCAAAAATAGGTTCACATCTTCTAATCTCCACTGCCGTGCTACACTCCTGTACTCCTGTACTTACACACAATGACGCTTCTCAATTACCAATTTGAGCAGAAAAAAGCCCGTATTTATGGAGCATGCTTGAGAACACAATGTGTCAACGTAGAATTCCCCCAACTGGGAACAGGTCATTCAACAAGTCTAAGCTTTTCATACGAGATCTGCTTAGAAGGAGTATGGGCCGTATTTGGAATGACTTTGCAAGTGTCATCCTCCAAACAGAGAGAAAGGGCAGAGATGTCCCTTCGGCTGATGGAGTGAGGCTGTGTTAAAACAACGGGTAGAAAACAAACAGTATCCCTATTCTGGGCTAGCGTATGAAGGGTATAACGGATTGCATACCTTGCTTAACGTCAATGCATCATCCCCCAAACCTTTGTCAAGTGGTCCTGCTTCTAGCAAAAACAGAGTGTACCATGAAGAGAGAGTGTATGTTTAAAAGAGGACACACCATGCACAGTTCCAATGCATTGCTTATTTTTCTAAACCAAAGCACCATAGGCTTTTGGAAGGGCAAAGTTCAACTCTGTATATGAAGATAGGTTACGGAATACGAGTTCTTTAACCAGTACAGGAGAGGGCTCACCTGGTTCATCCTCCATTCCACCCGGACTTGTGCAGACAGTGCATGTTAACTCTATATACTGCAGATATATGTTATGCAGTTGGATTTGATGTTAAGGAGTACAGCAGAGGGCCCACCTAGTAGGCAACCGATGCAGGGCGCGTCCTCCACGACTGAGAGCAGGGCAATCGATAGCAGCCATGTCAGTAGGACTTGTTGCGAGAGTGAATGTAACTCGTTATGATGCCAATAATTCACTGGACATATGTTTCATAGAATGCGCTTGTTTCTAAAATTGCACAGCAAAGGACCCGCCTTGTGGAGAGTCAGTGCAGGGCTCATTCATCCTCCAAGGCTGCGAGGGATGGCAGCCATGTCATTCGAACTGATGGAAAGACTGAACGTACCTTGTTATGACGCAGACATGTTTCGAAAACGGACTGAACGTACCTTGTTATGACGCAGACATGTTTCGAAAACGGACTGAACGTACCTTGTTATGATGCAGACATGTTTCGAAAACGGACTGAACGTACCTTGTTATGATGCAGATATGTTTCGAAAATGGGCTACTATTTAACGAGTATGGCAAAGGACCCACTTTGTAGAGAGTCGGTGCAGGGCTCATTCATCCTCCAAGACTGCGAGCATAGCAGCCATGTCATCCGGGCTTGTTAAGACAGACAGTGAATGTAATTTGCTATGATGCAGGGAAGATAGATAGATCACACAAGATTGGGCAGGAGGATTGGGCAGGAGGATTGGGCAGGAGGATTGGGCAGGAGGATTGGGCAGGAGGATTGGGAAGGAGGATTGGGCAGGAGGACCCACCTTGTGGTGGGTCAACGCAGGGCTCGTCCTCCACGACTGCGAGGGATGGCAGCCATCTCACTCGGACTGTTGGCATGGGCGAGAGGATGGCAGCCATCTCACTCGGACTGCTGGCATGGGCAAGAGGATGGCAGCCATCTCACTCGGACTGTTGGCATGGGTGAGAGGATGGCAGCCATCTCACTCGGACTGTTGGCATGGGCGAGAGGATGGCAGCCATCTCACTCGGACTGTTGGCATGGGCGAGAGGATGGCAGCCATCTCACTCGGACTGTTGGCATGGGCGAGAGGATGGCAGCCATCTCACTCGGACTGTTGGCATGGGCGAGAGGATGGCAGCCATCTCACTCGGACTGTTGGCATGGGGACTTGAAATGGTTTGAAGTCGGTCAGTGGGACGGGAGGAGGTAGGTGGATGGGAATGAGTGGGAAAGATGAGAGGGATCATATGAGGCGGGTTTGGGGGGGACGGGAGGACAGGGAGGATGGGGGATTTGTGGGGATTGTAGGGGTAAGTGCTGTTGAGAGGTACTATCGAACCTTTGGATTAAAAGATTTGGGTGTCAGAGATTGTCTTGAGACCCTTGACACAACGGAGAGGATGAGTGCAGAAACCAGGCGACAGCGCATTCATTCACTCACAACGCAACAACCAGGGTGAATCTGCAGGCAAGCGTGCAGCGTGTGTTGCTCTAGTGACTACGAGGTGACTTTTGAGTCGACTCAAAAGTCTCATCAAGCGCGAAGCATGTGTTGCTCTAGTGACTCCATTTGCCACTCAACACATGCTGCCCACTAGTTCACGGTGTTGATGTGTCACCATTGAGTCGACAAATTTACCGCGCATGTGCTGTGCTGTTCCAGAGGCTCCCACTTGTCTCCCCCACACCTTCAGAAAAGTGTTCTTGTGTTACAATTCTGACGTGTTGCGGCTTTACAATTTTCTAATGTTATGACAATACTATGGTATGATATTGTGATGCGATGGTGTTGCGATGCATGATGCGATAACGTCATGTGACGCCATTCCCCCACACCGAACTACTTACGGAGTGTCAGCAGCAGAGCACAAGATTCGTACCAGAAAGTCCACTTGCCTCGCTGCCACTGCTTCAGCGTGTTCCCCATGTTGCCTCATTCACCTTAGATCACCACTCACATTCACGGAGTGTCTCACCACGTTCCCAGCACTCACGAAGTGTCAGCAGCAGAGCGCAGAATCCTTTCCAAAGACTCCGTTTGCCTCCCTGCCACTGCTGCTGCCACTGCTGCTGCCACTGCCTTCGCATGCTAGGATGTTATGATGTTATGCTACCCCGTTCCCCCCCAACCACTCACAGAGTGTCAGCAGCAGAGCGCAGGATCCGTTCTAAAGACTCCACTTGCCTCGCTGCCACTGCCGCTGCCACCCCCCTCGCATTCTCCCCTTCCTTCCTGCTACTAATACTGCTGCTACTGACTATGCTGCTGCTGCTGGTGGTGGCGGCAGTGGTGGCGGTGGTTGCAAGAGGTGCAACAACAGGGGAAGGCGCAGGAGAGGCATCAGAAGTAGCGGATGGGGGTGGTACGAACGGGGGGAGGTGCACAAGTGGAGGGAGGGTGGAGGAGGGTTGCATGGGAGGAGACAGCTGCAACACTCCGTAGTTTGTTGGAATAAAAAGAACCTATAATTAAGGGGAAGTTAAAGGGAGGGAGGGGAGGAGAGGGAAAGAGGAGGGTGTGTATGGGAGAGCTGCAGAGCTGGAGGGATGGAGGAGGGTTGCATGGGAGGGACCAGCTGCAACACTGAGAAGCACTTGGCAGCGAAAGGGAGGAGAGAGGGGAGCAGGGGAGAGGTTATGGGGATGCTGGAGAAGAGATGGAGGAGGGTTGCCAGACAGCTGCAACACCCCGTAGTTGGTTAGATTGAGAAGCACCTGCTATCCAACTGAAGTGAAAGAGAGAGGAGGGAGGAGATGTTATGTATGGGGATGCTGGAGAAGAGATGGCGGAGGGGATGAATTGAGAAGCACCTGCAATCCAAGAAAAGCGAACGGGAGGAGAAGGGGGGAGGGAGATGTGAAGGAGCAGAGAGAGCGGAAGCAGCAGAGAGGGCAGCAGAGGGATCAGAGGAGGCAGAGGGTGCAGGGAGCAGAGGAAGCAGAGCAAAGGGATGAGTGGATGTTGGGAAAGACGGGGTGAATGAGCGGCTGTGGAGATAGGAAGCATGGGTCGATGATCTGCCCTTCCCGTCACACACGGCACCACGGGGACAGAGATGGTCGCAGCAGGGCGGGGGGGTGGTGGGGAGCAGGGTAAAGGAGGAGAGGACGCAGAGGGGGCAGGGCGGGGAGGAGAGGGAGCAGAGGGGGCAGGGCGAGGAGGGAGGCGAGGGAGCGGAGGAGAAAGGGGAGATGTGAAGCATGGGTCGATGATCTGCTCTTCCTGTCACACATGAAGAGCATGCCTCGTTCACACATGGCACCACGGGGACAGAGATGGTAGCAGCAGGGCAGCTGAGGGAGCAGAGAAAATGGAGAAGAGGGAGAGGAAGCAGAGGGAGCGAGGCAGAGAGGGTGGAGAGGGCCCCTGCTGACTTTGCTGTTATGCTCCCCGATGGGTTGGACTCGATTGATGCCGCTCCTCTCATGTGCGCCTGTGAGTGTCTAGTAATGCACGGATCATGGGGGCTGGGGGCTAGGGGCTGGGATTAGGGGCTCATGGGTGGGGGACAACAAGGGCGGCTTCCAGCCGCGCCTGCGCGCCCCCGCTGACTTCGCCATCAAGCAGCGAGATGGCGCGGGTTCCGTGGACGCTGCTCCTCTTATGTGCGCTGGTGTGGCGCGTGTTACTGCTTGCTTGCATGCATTCATTTGCCCCTGTCGCGTGCCTGCGCTCCCCCTCGCACCCTCGCTTCCTCTCTTCCTTGTCCTTTTCCTCCTCCTCACACCCTCGCTTCCTCCATTCCTTGTCCTTTTCCCCCTCTCCCCTCTCCCCTACCCTCCTCCCCTTCCAGGCATCACCGTGTACAGCCCTCTACGTGCGCACATCACCCGCCCCGGCATGAAAGTGGGCGTCATCGGCATTGGCGGGCTGGGCCATCTCGCTTTACAGATCGCGCGGGCCATGGGGGCACACGTGACTGCCTTCTCCACCTCGCCCAGCAAGGAGGAGGAGGCCAAGAGAATGGGCGCGCAGCAGTTTGTGGTGTATGACGCCCAGGCTGCGCCAGGAAAGGGACATCCAGAGGTGCCCAAGAGCGCGCACGTGGATGTGCTGGTGAACTGCGCGCCTGTGCTACCTCCTCAAGGCGATTACAGGAACTTCATGAGCCTCCTGGGGCCCGATGGCACGTGAGTCAAGGCTTGGGTAGGGATTGGGTTGGTAGGGCTGGGATAGGGGAATGGGGCAGCCTTCCCCGCATTAGCGAGGAGCATGGGCGCACAACAGTTTGTGGTGTATGATCCGAACGCTGCGCCTGGAAAGGGGCATCCCGAAGTGCCCAAGAGCGCGCATGTGGATGTGCTGGTGAACTGTGCTCCCGTGCTGCCGCCCTATGGGGATTATCTCAACTTCATGAGCTTGCTAAACCCGGATGGCACGTGATTGTAGGCAAGGGTAGGAGTGGGGTAGGGGTACGGTAATGGGCCGGCCTTCTCTGCGTGGGCGCGCAGCAGTCCGTGGTGTATGACACGCATGCTGCCCAAGAGCGCACATGTGGATGTTTTGGTGAACTGTGCGCGCCTGTGCTGCTGCAACAAAGATTAACGCAACTGTTCTGATTTTCCTCATCCCTCTTTCCCCTGTCCCTCCTCACCCGTTCCCTCTTGCCCCCCCCTTCCTGCTCTCCTCTCTCCCCCGTACCCTTTTCCCCTTGCCCATTCCCCCTCCCCCCTTCTCAGACTTCTCCTGACCGGGATTCCACCAGATGCTGTCGGGCAGGTGGGCCTGCTGGATCTGATTTTCGGGCAGAAAAAACTTGCAGGATCGGTGGTGGGCGGGCGGATGCTGTTGAAAGAAATGTTTGACTTCTGCGCTGCTAACAGCATCAAGCCCGTGACTGTGGTGAGTGTGACTGTGGCGGTGTGACTGTGGTGAGTGTGACTATGACGAGTGTGAGTGTGGCTAATGTTATTGTGGTGTTCAAGGGTGTGGGGGGGAGAGTGTTGGTGGGTGTGAGTAGCATTGTTCGTGTGAACAGAGCTGCTTGTGCAGGTATGGTGATTTTTGTGCACATCACAACCTGGTTACCACCCTGCCATTACCTGGTTACCACCCTCTCACCTCCCTTCACAACCCTCTCACCTCCCTTCACAACCCTCTCACCTCCCTTCACAACCCTCTCACCTCCCTTCACAACCCTCTCAACTCCATTCACAACCCTCTCACCTCCCTTTACCACCCTGTATCACTTACAGACCCGCCCGCTGTTGCAGCTGAACGAGGCTATGGATTAGGTGGAAGCTATTCCTCGCTCACAAACTCACCATCCCTCCCATCATTGCCGCTCACCTACCTTTCATCTCTCTCCCTCTCCCCTCCCTCTTACCACTTGTTACAGACGCGTCCACTGTCGCAGCTGAACGAGGCAATGGACGCCGTTTTGGCCAACAAGGTCCGCTACCGTGTTGTGCTGCTGACCGATGCTGAGTAGATTTGGGTGTGTGTGGATAGATATGGACTGTTGCGGCTCACTTGAATAGATACAGATGGGTGGATGGCTACACTGTATGTGGGAGGGTGCGTGAGTGGGTGGGTGGGTGGGAGGATACTCTCACCGCCTGGATAGTATGTGTCGTATCTTATACTGCTCTGAAAAATGTATGGCCACCCTGTAACAGAAGGTTATGGGTGTTCTAATAAATCTTATAAGTAGTCGTTTTTGTAAAAGTTATTTGTACCATGTTGGTCATTGAATGTGTGGGCGATGTAGGTGTGTTATGCATGTGACGGCATCATTATGCCATGTAAGTTTTGCATAAAGTTTTGCTTCCTAGCAGAAATTTACTGAATCAGGTGAAATAAGGATGAAAATGAAATATGATTTGTATTAAATACTAGCACATCTTCCCGTCATGATGTTGTTTAAAACAAATTTGTATTGAGTCACCTTTTTGAAAGTGTTGAGTTCTGCAAAATTCCAAGCCCTAAATTATCGCAGAACATGCATAACGGCGATGCCCGTATTCGCTACTGGTTTCGGGTTCTGGTGGGACCCACACGAGCCCACGCTCGCTCTGCCATACCTCCCCCTCCTCCCCTCCACTGTTCCGAAGTGGCCCTTCTCTCACAGTCGTTTCTGTCCCAACAGATCAAAATAGCTAGTGCTTGGCTTGAGGACCAGTAGAAAGTTTGTGCTTACAGGTTGCGTTAGTGAACTCTCCAGCGTCTCTCGTGACTTCCTTTTGTGTGCTTTATTTCGACATTCTGCTCGGTTTGCACACGAACATTCCTCACAGGCATGTTTGCCTTGTCATTTCAGTGCATATTGACTGGATTTCGCTTGCGTGAGTGACGATCAACAAATATTATGATAGGAAGACCAGAAGTGCTTGCTTTCAGCTGGCGCTTATGCTGTTATTTCGATCCAGTTGACACGCATTGCATTGGAATCCTGCCAACGTAATAAGCCGTCACTGCATTCGTTTCCGCTCATTCTTTACGCCAACCCCAATGCATTTCGTTTCAGTTTTTGCTTCGTCCATCCATGACGGACGCTCTCAGTCCTTTTCTTCCTGCGCGTGACGATCCCGTAGGGACATCGGAGCTCTCACAAGGAGCACTGACCGATCCAATACACGGAATTAATGGGAATCTCTCTGATGCAGGAGCCCGCATATACTCGGATCTTCCCACCTTACGCTGATGTGTTGTGTTGAACCGTTTCTCAACTTTCCCCTCTACCCTTTCTCCTTATACCAGTCTTAGGAAGTCAAAGCATGCGTTCTCCTTTGATGTGGGTTTCCCTTATCACCCTTTCCCTCTACCCTTTCTCCTTCCAACATACCAGTTTCAACCAAAATCTCAGCCTACTGTAGCACGTAGAGTGGCTGAATGGATACATATTGTGCACAGAAGCATTGAGCGCAATAAAACCTTTAAAAATCATGTTTGTAATGTAAAGGAAAGCAATCATTAGCACGACCTGTGGTTAAGCTAGCTAGCTGGTCACAAAGGCTCTTTAAACAGAAAATAAGAAGCACAAATCAACCTACGCATTCTCAAATACATTTATACGCCACAGGTGCTCACCTAACACAGTAACAGCACAGCACGTTTCTCCTGGCAGAACAGCACGACTTTGTTGGCTCTTTGGCGGCTCGCTTCGCTATCCATGCCAGTCCCGATGCGTTGGGCTGGTTGCATTGCACAGCCTGGTATATCTCAACGGGACGTAGCAGGCGCGCTAACGACAAAGTCGTCTCGATAAGACGACAAACTGCCCGGGCAAAAAAAAATAAACCCCAGACGGATGGCATGCCGTTCGAGAGCCTCAACCCTAAAATTTTAGGGTTAACCCCATCGGGATGGCATGCACCCTTCGGGGGCCTAAACCCTAAAAGTTTAGGGTTGAGGCTCCCGAATGGCATGCCATCCGTCTGGGGTCTATTTTTTTTTGCCTCGGGCAGCTTGTCATCTTGTCGAAGCGGCTTTGTCGCTAGCGCGCCTTCTACGTCCCGTTGAGATATACTCGGCTGTATCTCTCAACGGAACCGGGGGTGACGCTCCGTTTTGCCAGGGGTGACGCTCGGGGGTTGCACGCACGATACAAGCCCCCTGTTTGATCGCAGCCGTTGAAGAGACAGCTTATCACGCTGGCATCCGTCCGTTCGTGAGATATTTTGAAGAAGCTGGTTACATTTCTTCACCTGCCCACTACAGTCCCGATTTTTCCCGTGGTAAATGCTAGCGAGGAAGCGAAATAGGGCTGCTCACTAAACACCCAAATGATGGGAAAAGTTGTGGGAGTCAAACGCGCTTCCTGTGTAGTCGAGAAGTAGAAATCAATTGGCGCCGTGCACAGCTTAGCAGACTCAGTTTCAGAGGAATTCGGTCAGCCTGGGTCGCGAAGAAGCGTGGGCGATTCGACGAGAACCATGTGATTCAACAACCGTGACTATACGAGCTGTGACTAAACGAGCCCATGAAAAAACGAGCCGACTAGCCGAGCCGTGACTGTAAATGCTCCAGATATCAGCAAAAGACCGCGCATGTTTCAACCTTTAGACAAGGTGACGATTGCTGCAGAGGCGCACACTCACCGACGCTCGCAGCAGAGCAAGCAGGTCTAGCAGCAACTGCGCGTCGCCAGCAATCGACACTCACCGATGCTCGCAGCAGCTGCGTGTCGCCATCTGCCGCTCTAGTAGGAGCCGTGACTGTAGGGGAGCCGTGATTGTCGGGGAGCCGAGATTGTAGGGGCGGCGAGTGCAAAAGCCGCCTTGATTGTCCCACCCTGCAATGGACTGCACATTGAAGGGTTTGGATAAGCTGACGATTGCTGCCGAGGCGAACAGCATCCCAAAATTCCCTCTCGGGGCCCGAGCGAAAGGGAAGACGAAGTGCGTACTTCGCGTGCTCGAGTCAAGTACTGCTAGGGTGTAGAGTGGGCAGATACAGTGTAAACCCCCCTCCTGGTAGCGAGTGTACTTGCACAACCAACTCGGAAGCGAAGTATGGACAATGAAATTAGGGTGGAGTACAGACACACTACACTCGACACCTCCAGCCTGCTCGTAGACCATTGGAGGGTGCGATGTGCATACTCACCCTAAAAAACAGCTCTCCACACAGAAACAAGTGTGTATGTACTTCAATGCATCGCTTCCAACGCCCTTGGAGTTTAGAGGAGGGGCTAGTCATTTTTTACCCTACTCACACAAACGATAATCTCAGCCGTCGATTCCATATCTGTTAACCATTGCATTCGGGGCTGCCTATGATTCGTTCCTCACAAAAGGTTGGAATGTGAGCCGTCGATTGGTTTTTTTTTCAGTCGTCGATTTTTAGATGCAAAGGCTGAGTACTACCGTCGATGAGAAACAAAGGGGACGGTCAAGATTAAGCACCAACATTAGAAAGGTTGGAATCGCAACCGTTGATGGTCCTAACTTCGAACGATCTAGATTTCAGGTGCATCAACCTGCTATTTCGCTTGACAGCAGAAATTACGTGAGTCTTTCAGCTGTCATTGTGTGATTGGCTATTAAACTGTAATTGTAGATGTATTCAGGCGTTCAATGGTTAAGATCGAGAGATGCAGTGAGTTGGCACAAGATATTGAGATCTCGATTCGGATTGGTTCATGTTCAATCAGGCTCAGATTTCGGGGGAGGAACGCACTGCTTGACTTGGTATATTCTGAGCACATCTTCATTTCCTCCTCCCCTTCATTGCTTGCAGCTCTCATCTTCCATCGCGACTGTCTTTCCGGCCTTAGTTGCCTTCTTCGAGTTCCTTACCGGCAACCACGCTCCCGTCGAGTTGGATCCTTCAGTCACCTTCAAAATATTAGGCGTTAGTTCAAAGCTTCTCTTCGATTTTCACGTATTTTTAGCCACCGTGTACGCATGACATTGGCCACAATGGCGTGCGTGCAGCGACACCATGGTTAGTACTTAGAGCTTTGCTTCACTTTAGAGCCCGTTTTCTTAGCACTAACGAGACGTGAGTGTGTCGTGGTTTTGCAGGCGACTGGTTTGGCAGTCCAGCATACCCTATTATGCTGTATTTGACCTCAGCTGTATTCATTTTCCCACAGTTGTTGGCAGCTAATTGGTTAGTTTCCAGCGCTTATTTTAAACGTCGTACGTTGTCTCCTGTTTTTTCAGGGTGGGTTGGTCGTGTCTGCCAGCTATCGATGATCGTGAAGATTCATGCCTGTGAAGGCTTTTACCCATTCGACGGTTTAATGTTGAGTTTAGTTGGTTGTGTTCTTGTGTGTTGTTTTATTAGTTTATACATTCAACTACAAATTTCAAATTTTATGACTATCCACCATAGCATATGTTAATGAACAGAGGCTATGTAACATGCTTACAATGTACTATAAAAACGGGTATTGCTTTGTGAACTTAACGTAATTACTATGTATATACTGCACGTATTCGGGTGACTGGTGTCATAGTGCGAACCTCGTACTAACTGTGATTGGTTGATGGGAGTAAATGCTTTCTGTACGCGGACCATGTACTAAATACATTCGTAGTATGATTTCAAGTAAGTACAAAGCACGTACTGTATTTCCAGGTGAAGAGTAGCTTGTTTGTCGCAGAACCTATACTTACATAGTTCGTCAGTACTATGTGCGCTCTACGTAAAGACAATGTGTAGGCATTGTGTTTACTTAGTATTTCCGCCAAACATTTTTGGGATGAGCTACTGACTTTTAAGCCAACCCCCATCTGTCTATTCGCTGAAGTCATCTTGAGTCTCTCACCCAGCGACGGAGCGCGCATTACAGGGTTTGGGTAAGCTGACGATCGCTGCCGAGGCGAACACCCACAGACTTTTGAGTCAACGCCGGTCAACGTTATTGTACACTTGCTAGTCAACGCGATTGCATCTCACCCAGCGATGGACCGCGCATTGAAGGGGTTGGATAAGCTGACAATCGCAGCAGAGGCGCACACCCGCCGGTGGTCCCAGCAGTTGCTTCCGGACCTTCTCGCCCTGCTCTCCTCGGCCTCTGCCATTCTTGATAGACTCCCTGTAAGCTGTTCCGATATAATGTATTCTCCTATCATGCATCACTGTAAGCAGCTGCTCCCTCTTGCCACGTCTTTTCTCCCTCTTTGATTACTATCTTCGGTATAGGAATACTCAGTAATTTCACTGTGGTAGTCAGTCCATATGCTATGCTACCCTTTCAGCTGTCTAGTTTTTCCATAATCTCCCTCTGCTCCCTCTCCTCCCTCTGCCCTGCTCCTCCTCCCTCTGCTCCCTCTGCCCCCTCGCACCCTCGCTTCCTCCCTTCCTTGTCCTTTTCCTCCTCCTCACACCCTCGCTTCCTCCATTCCTTGTCCTTTTCCCCCTCTCCCCTCTCCCCTACCCTCCTCCCCTTCCAGGCATCATCGTGTACAGCCCTCTGCGTGCGCACATCACCCGCCCCGGCATGAAAGTGGGCGTCATCGGCATTGGCGGGCTGGGCCATCTCGCTTTACAGATCGTGCGGGCCATGGGGGCACACGTGACTGCCTTCTCCACCTCGCCCAGCAAGGAGGAGGAGGCCAAGAGAATGGGCGCGCAGCAGTTTGTGGTGTATGACGCCCAGGCTGCGCCAGGAAAGGGACATCCGGAGGTGCCCAAGAGCGCGCACGTGGATGTGCTGGTGAACTGCGCGCCTGTGCTGCCTCCTCAAGGCGATTACAGGAACTTCATGAGCCTCCTGAGGCCCGATGGCACGTGAGTCAAGGCTTGGGTAGGGGTTGGGTTGGTAGGGCTGGGATAGGGGAATGGGGCAGCCTTCCCCGCATTAGCAAGGAGCATGGGCACACAGCAGTTTGTGGTGTATGATCCGAACGCTGCGCCTGGAAAGGGGCATCCCGAAGTGCCCAAGAGCGCGCATGTGGATGTGCTGGTGAACTGCGCTCCCGTGCTGCCGCCCTATGGGGATTATCTCAACTTCATGAGCTTGCTAAACCCGGATGGCACGTGATTGTAGGCAAGGGTAGGAGTGGGGTAGGGGTACAGTAATGGGCCGGCCTTCTCTGCATGGGCACGCAGCAGTCCGTGGTGTATGACACGCATGCTGCCCAAGAGCGCACATGTGGATGTTTTGGTGAACTGTGCGCGCCTGTGCTGCCGCAACAAAGATTAACGCAACTGTGCTGATTTTCCTCATCCCTCTTTCCCCTGTCCCTCCTCACCCGTTCCCTCCTGCCCCCCCCCTTCCTGCTCTCCTCTCTCCCCTGTACCCTTTTCCCCTTGCCCATTCCCCCTTCCCCCTTCTCAGACTTGTCCTGACCGGGATTCCACCAGATGCTGTCGGGCCGGTGGGCCTGCTGGATCTGATTTTCAGGCAGAAAAAACTTGCAGGATCGGTGGTGGGCGGGCGGATGCTGTTGAAAGAAATGTTTGACTTCTGCGCTACTAACAGCATCAAGCCCGTGACTGTGGTGAGTGTGACTGTGGCGAGTGTGACTGTGGTGAGTGTGACTATGACGAGTATGATTGTGGCTAATGTTATTGTGGTGTTCAAGGGTGTGGGGGGGAGAGTGTTGGTGGGTGTGAGTAGCATTGTTCATATGAACAGAGCTGCTTGCGCAGGTATGGTGATTTTTGTGCACATCACAACCTGGTTATCACCTTGCCATAACCTGGTTACCACCCTCTCACCTCCCTTCACAACCCTCTCACCTCCCTTCACAGCCCTCTCACCTCCCTTCACAACCCTCTCACCTCCCTTCACAACCCTCTCAACTCCCTTCACAACCCTCTCACCTCCCTTTACCACCCTGTATCACTTACAGACGCGCCCGCTGTTGCAGCTGAACAAGGCTATGGATGAGGTGGAAGCTATTCCTCGCTCACAAACTCACCATCCCTCCCATCATTGCCTCTCACCTACCTTTCATCTCTCTCCCTCTCCCCTCCCTCTTACCACTTGTTACAGACGCGTCCATTGTCGCAGCTGAACGAGGCAATGGACGACGTTTTGGCCAACAAGGTCCGCTACTGTGTTGTGCTGCTGACCGATGCTGAGTAGTTTTGGGTGTGTGTGGATAGATATGGACCGTTGCGGCTCACTTGAATAGATACAGATGGGTGGATGGATATTTGGATGGATGAAGTGGACTCCAAAAAGGTCCGCTTCCGTATTGTGCTGCTCAATGATGCTGAGTAAACACAGATTGGTGGATGGCTATACTGTGTCCGGGAGGGTGCGTGAGTGGGTGGGTGGGTGGGAGGATACTCTCACCGCCTGGATAGTATGTGTCGTATCTTATACTGCTCTGAAAAATGTATGGCCACCCTTTAACAGAAGTTTATGGGTGTTTTAATAAACCTTATAAGTAGTCGTTTTTGTAAAAGTTATTTGTACCATGTCGGTCATTGAATGTGTGGGCAATCTAGGTGTGTTATGCATGTGACGGCATCATTATGCCATGTAAGTTTTGCATAAAGTTTTGCTTTCTAGCAGAAATTTATCGAATCAGGTTAAATAAGGATGAAAATGAAATATGATTTGTATTAAATACCAGCGCATCTTCCCGTCATGATGTTGTTTAAAACAAAGTTGTACTCAGTGACCTTTTTGAAAGTGTTGAGTTCTGCAAAATTCCAAGCCCTAAATTCTCGCAGAACATGCATAACGGCGATGCCCGTTTTTGCTACGGGTTTCGGGTTCTGGACGGACCCACCCGAACCCACGCTCGCTCTGCCATACCTCCCCCTCCACCCCTCCACCGTTCCGAAGTGGCCCTTCTCTCACAGTCGTTTCTGTCCCAACAGATCAAAGTAGCTTGTGCTTGGCTTGAGGACCAGTAGAAAGCTTGTGCTTGCAGATTGCGTTGGTGAGCCAACTCTCCAGCGTCTATCGTGACTTCCTTTTGTTTGCTTTGTTTCGACGTTCTGCTCGGTTTGCGCACGAACTTTCCTCACAGGCATGTTTGCCTTCTCGTTTCAGTGCATATTGACTGGATTTCGCTTGCGTGAGTGATGATCAACAAAGATTATGATAGGAAGACCAGAAGTGCTTGCTTTCAGCTGGCGCTTATGCTGTTATTTCGATCCAGCTGACACGCATTGCATTGGAATCCTGCCAAAGTAATAAGCCGTCACTGCATTCGTTTCCCCTCATTCTTTACGCCAACCCAGTGCATTTCGTTTCAGTTTTTGCTTCGTCCATCCGTGACGGACGCTCTCAGTCCTTTTCTTCCTGCGCGTGACGATCCCGTAGGGACATCGGAGCTCTCACAAGGAGCACTGACCGATCCAATACACGGAATTAATGGGAATCTCTCTGATGCAGGAACTTTTTGCTTATTTTCCTCTCTTAGTTTGCAATTTCTGCAGGTTTCTTATTTATCAGATTTTAAGAGTCCGCGTTAGAATGAACTTGACGTCTTGGCTTGTGTCCATTTTGCGCATCTGGGCATTGTTTCCCGCCTCTGTCTGTCACACCCACTTTCCTGCACGTGATGATGCCGTAGGGACATCGGAACTCCTAAGGGAGTAGTGACCGATCCAAAATACGGAATTAATGGGAATCTCTCTGATGCAGGAACGCACATATACTCGGTTCTCCCCACCTTACGCTGATGTGTTGTGTTCAACCGTTTCTCAACCTTCCCCTCTACCCTTTCTCCTTATACCAGTCTTAGGAAGTCAAAGCATGCGTTCTCCTTTGATGTGGGTTTCCCTTATCACCCTTTCCCTCTATCCTTTCTCCTTCCAACATACCAGTTTCAACCAAAATCTCAGCCTACTATAGCACGTAGAGTGGCTGAATGGATACATATTCTGCACAGAAACATTGAGCGCAATAAAACCTTTAGGAATCATGTTTGTAATGTTAAGGAAAGCAATCATTAGCACGATTCTGTGGTCAAGCTAGCTAGCTGACTGAGGCTCTTTAAACAAAAACAAGATGCCTAAATCAACCTACGCATTCTCAATTACATATATACGCCACATGTGCTCACCTAACACAGTAACACCACAGCACGTTTCTCCTGGCAGAACAGCACGACTTTGTTGGCTCTTTGGCGGCTCGCTTCGCTATCCATGCGAGTCCCCATGCGTTGAGCTGGTTGCATTGCACAGTGATGAGCCTGCTAACCTAGTCGAGAAGTAGAAATCAATTGGCGCCGCGCACAGCTTAGCAGACTCAGTTTCAGAGGAATTCGGTCAGCCTGGGTCGCGAAGAAGCGTGGGCGATTCGACGAGAACCATGTGATTCAACAACCGTGACTATACGAGCTGTGATTAAACGAGCCCATGGAAAAACGAGCCGACTAGCCGAGCCGTGACTGTAAATGCTCCAGATATCAGCAATAGACCGCGCATGTTTCAACCTTTAGACAAGGTGACGATTGCTGCAGAGGCGCACACTCACCGATGCTCGCAGCAGAGCAAGCAGGTCTAGCAGCAACTGCGCGTCGCCAGAAATCGACACTCACCGATGCTCGCAGCAGCTGCGCGTCGCCATCTGCCGCTCTAGTAGGAGCCGTGACTGTAGGGGAGCCGAGATTGTAGGGGCGGCGAGTGCAAAAGCCGCCTTGATTGTCCACCCTGCAATGGACCGCACATTGAAGGGTTTGGATAAGCTGACGATTGCTGCCGAGGCGAACAGCTACTGACTTTTAAGCCAACCCCCATCTGTCTATTCGCTGAAGTCATCTTGAGTCTCTCACCCAGCGACGGAGCGCGCATTACAGGGTTTGGGTAAGCTGACGATCGCTGCCGAGGCGAACACCCACTGACTTTTGAGTCAACGCCGGTCAACGATATTGTACACTCGCTAGTCAACGCGATTGCATCTCACCCAGCGATGGACCGCGCATTGAAGGGGTTGGATAAGCTGACAATCGCAGCAGAGGCGCACACCCGCCGGTGGTCCCAGCAGTTGCTTCCGGACCTTCTCGCCCTGCTCTCCTCGGCCTCTGCCATTCTTGATAGACTCCCTGTAAGCTGTTCCGAAATAATGTATTCTCCTATCATGCATAACTTTAAGCAGCTGCTCCCTCTTGCCACGTCTTTTCTCCCTCTTTGATTACTATCTTCGGTATAGGCATACATCCCAAAAATGTTTGGCGGAAATACTAAGTAAACACAATGCCTACACATTGTCTTTACGTAGAGCGCACATAGTACTGACGAACTATGTAAGTATAGGTTTCTGCGACAAACAAGCTACTCTTAACCTGGCAATACAGTACGTGCTTTGTACTTACTTGAAATCATACTACGAATGTATTTAGTACATGGTCCGTGTACAGAAAGCATTTACTCCCATCAACCAATCACAGTTAGTACGAGGTTCGCACTATGACACCAGTCACCCGAAAACGTGCAGTATATACATAGTAATTACGTTAAGTTCACAAAGCAATACCCGTTTTTATAGTACATTGTAAGCATGTTACATAGCCTCTGTTCATTAAACATATGCTATGGTGGATAGTCATAAAATTTGAAATTTGTAGTTGAATGTATAAACTAATAAAACAACACACAAGAACACAACCAACTAAACTCAACATTAAACCGTCGAATGGGTAAAAGCCTTCACAGGCATGAATCTTCACGATCATCGATAGCTGGCAGACACGACCAACCCACCCTGAAAAAACAGGAGACAACGTACGACGTTTAAAATAAGCGCTGGAAACTAACCAATTAGCTGCCAACAACTGTGGGAAAATGAATACAGTTGAGGTCAAATACAGCATAATAGGGTATGCTGGACTGCCAAACCAGTCGCCTGCAAAACCACGACACACTCACGTCTCGTTAGTGCTAAGAAAACGGGCTCTAAAGTGAAGCAAAGCTCTAAGTACTAACCATGGTGTCGCTGCACGCACGCCATTGTGGCCAATGTCATGCGTACACGGTGGCTAAAAATACGTGAAAATCGAAGAGAAGCTTTGAACTAACGCCTAATATTTTGAAGGTGACTGAAGGATCCAACTCGACGGGAGCGTGGTTGCCGGTAAGGAACTCGAAGAAGGCAACTAAGGCCGGAAAGACAGTCGCGATGGAAGATGAGAGCTGCAAGCAATGAAGGGGAGGAGGAAATGAAGATGTGCTCAGAATATACCAAGTCAAGCAGTGCGTTCCTCCCCCGAAATCTGAGCCTGATTGAACATGAACCAATCCGAATCGAGATCTCAATATCTTGTGCCAACTCACTGCATCTCTCGATCTTAACCATTGAACGCCTGAATACATCTACAATTACAGTTTAATAGCCAATCACACAATGACAGCTGAAAGACTCACGTAATTTCTGCTGTCAAGCGAAATAGCAGGTTGATGCACCTGAAATCTAGATCGTTCGAAGTTAGGACCATCAACGGTTGCGATTCCAACCTTTCTAATGTTGGTGCTTAATCTTGACCGTCCCCTTTGTTTCTCATCGACGGTAGTACTCAGCCTTTGCATCTAAAAATCGACGACTGAAAAAAAACCAATCGACGGCTCACATTCCAACCTTTTGTGAGGAACGAATCATAGGCAGCCCCGAATGCAATGGTTAACAGATATGGAATCGACGGCTGAGATTATCGTTTGTGTGAGTAGGGTAAAAAATGACTAGCCCCTCCTCTAAACTCCAAGGGCGTTGGAAGCGATGCATTGAAGTACATACACACTTGTTTCTGTGTGGAGAGCTGTTTTTTAGGGTGAGTATGCACATCGCACCCTCCAATGGTCTACGAGCAGGCTGGAGGTGTCGAGTGTAGTGTGTCTGTACTCCACCCTAATTTCATTGTCCATACTTCGCTTCCGAGTTGGTTGTGCAAGTACACTCGCTACCAGGAGGGGGGTTTACACTGTATCTGCCCACTCTACACCCTAGCAGTACTTGACTCGAGCACGCGAAGTACGCACTTCGTCTTCCCTTTCGCTCGGGCCCCGAGAGGGAATTTTGGGATGCTGTTCGCCTCGGCAGCAATCGTCAGCTTATCCAAAC